ACATATGATAACGGAAAATTTAATATCATTTATTTTGATACTATCAAATGGAATAAATAGCAATTATGTTTACCAAACAACACAAACATAACTTACCTTCAACAAACTTTTGCTAAACATTCACTGAAAATATTTTTGATTGCTAACTTCTTAAATTAAATAAATAAATCTATTTTTATGCATCAATAACATTTCAATAGCATTGCAACATTTCAATTGTATTTTATCAAATATTCTTTCATTTTATATCAATCAGTTTCATGTGCCAAATAAATATAACAATGGATAGATAAATAGAACTATTGATAAATAATTTGCTAACATTTTTTAAAAATGACAAAGTTTTAAACTTTAACAAAGTTAATTTGAGCTAAAAAATCTTAACAAGTTTTACGATATATCGAACTATTTATGGATCATTTTGTTTGCTTTTTTTCATCATTGGATTTTTTTTTTTGTAATACAACAAGGTAAATTAAGCCAAAAAAAATCACTTAATTAACTCGTTGCAAATTAGCTGATGCTAATAATTAGCTTTGAATAATTTATTGAATATTTATTGGGCAAATAATTGATCGAAGTCAGCTATCAAACTGTTATCATATAGCCTATTGTAATTGAAATCAGTTATTAAACTGTTAATGAAATTTTTTTCATCATAACTTATCTCAAAAGTTTTTTTTTTAATTTAATTTTAACAATTTAGCTTAAACATTCTTCATTTTATCAAATAAATTTTTGTGCAAAAATTTTTTTTCATTTAATTTATGATTAAAATTAATATTATGTATTATACATTTGCTCATATAAAACTTTTGTAATTGGAATTAGTTATTAAGTTGTTTTTAAATAAAATTTTATCAAATCATATCCGTATGCTTCTTAAGAAGTTTGTAATTACAACAATTTTTTTTGTATTCTAAAATTTAGAAATTTCATGATAAATCATTAGAGATCCTTTTAATAAATCAAATGAAAATGAACCAATTTCGCTAAAAATGTATTTACGGTTCATTGTACACACTATAACACTATATTTATATAAAATTTAATAAATAATTTTTTTTCAAAATAAAATAATACACATTTAATGTTCATTTTCTTTTTGCAGAAATGAATTGATCTGAAATTATAATTCTTTGCCGAAGTACTGAAAATCAAAAAATGATTTCATTAATTCCATATCTGGCCATCGAGATTGTTAAAGAAATCTATCTATATGTTGCATTTATGATCATATATATCAATATCAGTTTCAATATCAATATCAATATCAGATATCAGTATAGATATCAATATCAGTTTCAATTATTTCCATCATCTTATCATTTGCCAATTTCTTCTAGTACCTACGTTATATTTTAGCATTCTTTTTTTTTGATTCCTAAATTTCGCTATCCATTTAAGTAAAGATGGATATTTAGCAAAATTATTCTCTCATTCTGGTAATGCGTAATGGATATAAATTGAAAAATTAAGTGATATGAGAGCCAAAGGAAAAAAGTTCCAATTTCAAATTTGATTTCAAATTCCAATTTTTTCAATATGAAACTTTTATAGACATTTGGTAATTTCAGACATATAAATCGTATATTTAATTCTAATTATTTTCATCATTATTTTCCGATCTTTTCTTTTTTGAGCATATTAATAGCATGAAAGAAAAATATGCTTTTTTAAAAAAATTTTATTGATTTCATAAATTTATTGCTATAATATCATCCTGATAAAAAGTACTTTGAAATGTAAATTTACGTTATTTTTCATTTTTTTTATTTATTTTGTTTACATCATTTAAATGCAAATTGAATTCCAAAAAGTTTTTTTTACTTTCTCATTTTTAATAATACAAAATGGATGTAAATTGAAAAATTCCGTAATAGGAGAACGAAAAAACAAAATCTCAAGTTCGATTTTATTTTCGAATTCCAATTTTTTTCAGAATGAAAATTTCGTTAGCAAAAAAACCGTATCAATTTCATTATGGTATCGTTGGAAATGAAAAAATTTGTCCGAGATTGATCGAAAAGTATTTTCTAAACATGTCAAAGGTCAAAACTTAAATAAATTTTTGTTTTTTTTATTTCACCGACTTTGAAAGTTGTCATGCACAAAAAAAGCAATAAACTTATCAAAATTGTAATTGATAAAATGGGTGAGCAATTCATCTAATGAATTTTTTTTATTAAAATTTAATGGATTACAATTTCCAAGAAGAAAAAGATTCAAAAATAATTCGATCTCATCAATTTTGTCAAAAATTTTGAAATTCATTTAAAAATTTCGCAATGTTTTTTTCCATCATTTACAGTTATGTTATACAAATGTAAAATGGTTGAATAAAATAATAAAATAATAATTCAAAAAAAAATATAATAAAAAAGAATTTTTTTCTTTTAAAAACCATAAAATTTTCATATATCCATCAGCTAGAAATATATTCAATAAATGTTAGCAGTAATTCGTTAAAGGATTAAAAAATACGATTGTCATTTAGTTCATTGGGTCCAATCGAAATAATTTTTTCAATTTTTGTTATCATATGGTAAAAAAGGGGAAAAAAACAATAGTCATTGGAATTTAAAAATTAATGATAACAAATTTTTGTGGAAAATTAATTATCGCACAATTAGTATGGGGAAAAGAAAGGAACGAAAAATAAGTAAATATTCAAATGGTCAATTTATTAATTAATAAAAAAAAAATAATGCAAAATTCGTAAATTTGTAGATTCTATGAAAATTTTGATCCAGCATTTGCTTCTATTTAACATATATATTTGGGTTATAGGAATGCCAATATTCAATTTGGTAAGTTTTATTAAAATATAACAAAGAAATTAAATGACTTTTTTTTTAATGTTATATAGCTTATCAATAACAATCACTTGAAGAAGTATTTTCTTGCTTGATAACATACTGATATGATAATGTTATGCAAAATAATGTTTTTTTTTTTAGAGATAGAAAAGACATGAAATTTTCAGGTCAAAGAATTGTCCTATTTTTTGACCAAAATTTATGTGAATATTTTATAGGATGATACATTTAGTCCTGATAATGAAATGCCAACAAATTATTATGGCGCATCATTTATAAGCACTGATGGGATGTAAGCATTTTTCATATTAATATCCAATTTTCTTTTTTTCGCTTTTTTTTTCCTAAATGCTTAAAATTTATCGCTTTTAAATTTCATTAAATTAAAATGTATTATAAAGAAAGGAAAAAGTTGTCAGTTTTATTCCAAAATTTTTTGTTAAAATTTTCAAAAAATTCATTTTTAGACAAAAACTATGCTTAACACATGCTGATTGTTATGATATGCGAGAGCCAATTTATTGGTGTTTTTTGGCTCAAAATCAACAATGGACGTTTGTTGTTTGATTTTTGAACATTTATATATCATATATATGTTATATAGAAATTAAAAGTTAACCAAAAAATTAATTAGTATTAATTGTAGTAATTATATTCAAAAGTCATCAATTTTATCAAATTAGCAAAAGCTAACAAATTTAATGAAATAAATTTTCAGTGACAAAGGTTGCTATTGTGATCCGGTTTTAAAAGCATGCATTATTGAACGGATGACTAAACTTGGTCCAGCAAGTAAAATCCGGAATTATGCATATTGCTCACCAAAAGCTTTTTGGGAATGTTCATCGTTTCAAAATATATAAATTTCATTTGAAGTTTTCTTTCGGTTTCCTTTCTTTTTTTTTTTCCTGAGAGTTATGTAAATGCTATGATGCAATTACTATGATTACTTGGGTAACTTATGCAATCTTTGTATAAGTGAGTTACAGTAACCTTTAATAAATATGATATGAAGTATTACCTGACACATTACAGTTTGCTATATACTGTATAATAAACTGCAGTGAAACTTTTCATTTTAATCGAAAAAAAAAATCAAAACCATATACTTTAACTGATATAACAACTTTAATTTCTCTTCTTTACTTCTATTTCAAATCTAATTAAAAATATATATATAATTAAAAATAATTAATTCTCAATGATATAATAATCAAATGTTCTGCATATTACTAAAATGATGACATTTATCATTGTTTATCATCACGTAAAATTGTTGTGAGTGATTTTATTGATTGGGTATTTCATTATTTTAAGGGAATTGAATGACCAAATCATTGTGATCATATAAAATTTGATTAACGAGCAATTTTTTTTTACGATTGTTTTTAATCATTATTGTTTCTTTTTCTTCTTGCTAATTGATTAATTTTTTTTTTTGATATTTTTTTTTCATTTCGAATAATTAATTTTCATTGCTTAACAAATAATTATCATAAAAAAATTTAAAATTTTTGGATTAATGGGAGTTAAATTTGAAATTAAAAGTTACAATTTTTATCATATTATTTATTAGTTCGTTTTTTTTTTTTTTTGTGTATGTGAATTCGAAATATGTGAATATTATAATTAAAGAAAATGTTGAAAGGAAAAGCTTAAAATTCTTTTAATTAATTAATTTGGGAGAAAAACTTCACATTTATATCTTTGATTGAATCAAATGAGAATTGGTAAAAAAAAAAAAGGGAAACTGACCGATATATTTGATTCAATTGAGATTCACTTATCATAAAGGTAGCTTAAAATCTGCATGAATATGAATAAAATTTGAATTAAATTAGCAAATGATTGGTATAAGTGATAAAATGTAATTATACTTTAATCTTGATGTAAATACATGAATTGGTCTTTCAAAAAAAAAAAAGGTTTTCTTGAACTTTTTGATTTTTGATCCTTTTGTTTACCTTTTGATCTTTGACTCTTAAAAAGAAGTGATGAAATGTTTTCTGTGAGTACGAAAATTTCACCAAAGTATTAGGGGAAAATGAAAAATGTAATGAAATCTTAGAATTATCCATTTATTGGATTAATTAATTAGTAGCTGGAACAATTTCATATTATTTTTTCTTTTTATTGCAACAATTTTTGCGAATTCGTAAGATTTTATTGCGAAATAAAAAAAAATGAAACAAACAAAGGAATAATTAACAAAATGATAGAAAATAGTAATTGGGATTTGAATACAGTAATACAGTAATGATTAAATATTTTAAAACCGTTATAATTTGGCAGTATCTTCGAAGGTTTGATAAGCCTACGAAAGAATAAATGAATAGATGGATGAATTGGGAAATGAACAGATGGAAAAGACAAAAAAATACAAAAAAAAGTAAAAGACAAAACAAAACTAAAGTAAACAGCATTAAGGACAGTACCAATTGAACGCTGAACGACAATAGGTATATTCCATCCGACCGTATGATTGACGATTAATTATGCATGAATGAAGTTTTAGATCACAATGACAGCCATATTTCCTGTAAAATTATTTAACTTAAATAATTGATTACTAAATAGCATAAATTTAAAAACAAAAAAAAAAATTGGTGGTAAAAATTGGAAAAATCCAAGTTAATAAAAAACTTCAATTAAATTCAAATAATTGCTTTTCGATTACAATATTTAATGATTGCTGTGAAAAAAGTTTTTACAATTTAAAAAATAAATATTATATTTTATCATAGGAAAGTATTTAACAAAATTGTTTGCATGTTATAATTCTACATATGTCAAAGTTCATGAGATTAAAGATCATTTAGTAGGATTAAAGATTCATACTGTTTGGGACACAACACTTCAGTATTACTATTGCACAAATTTGCTATTGCACAAATATTACTATTGCACATTACTATTGCACCATTGCATATTACTATTGCACATTCGCTACTGCACAAATTTGCACAAAAATTTTCTTGTTTGTATGCAAATTCATGACAGTTACATAGCTTATTACATATATATTTATATATGTTTTTTTTAACTCACAATTTTATTAAATTTATTAAAATAAAAACTGACATCCATCTCTGTTGCGAATCAGGTCGACACCAAAGCACTGGTTCTCGATAATCGTAACAATCTTTGTGTTCCATACAAGATTGTATTCTGGAAGAATTTTTAATTATATGAAATTATTCCAATTAAATTTCTTCCATTCTGATTATTTTTCATGTCTGGATGGGAAAAAATAATAAAGTCGTTTTTTTTTTGTTTTTAATTTCGTACCTTTAAAATTTAAATTTCAGAAAAAATTAAACTTTTGAAAACTATTGGGTAAAATGTCGATTTTGAAATCTTCGATAAACTTAAGAATTAACTAATACCAACATTTGCATGCACTGTTTAAGCTATGCTTATTTTATCAAGTAAGGGCAAATTGTAAAATTGATATTACCGATGGTTCTGATAATTTAAGCAACATTAACAATAATTAATCTTTGTACTATGTAATTGATGCCTGTTGTTTTTATCAATAAGAAGTCTGATTTTTGCTTTTTCTTTTTTCAATTTGAGAATTTTTAAATTTGTTTAGTTTTAAATTGAGCATAAACAAACTTTCCATCAGTTTCAACGAAATATGCTCCAGTGCAATCAGAATTTGGATCCTCACCTGGTTTACATTGTGATATCTGTAACGATGAAAAATTAAATAATTCTCCAACAAATACTAATTCATTTCACATTATCTGATAAGCAAAATTTCATTTCAAAATTAAATTTAAACGTAATATTTCTAAATTTGTAAAAATTTCGCAAAAAAAAAAGCCTTTCATTCCTTTTATTAATTTATTAAAAATATAACAATTAACACAGAAATAAATTGCAATAATAAATTATTCTAACATTTGCATAATTTTCTGAAATTTATGGAAAAAGAAGAAATACGCCTTTTCTTTTTTTTTCGAAAAAGCTTTAGTTTGTTATTAAAATGAAAAAACCTTATCAAAATTATTTTTGAAAAAATAATTAATTCATTTAATGAACGCTAATTTAACTAATTGCAATTCTTTTATTAATATGGATAAATTTTGTTGAAAATAGTTATATTAAAAACAGACAAATGTTAAATTAGTATGGAAAAAACTTTATTAAAAACGATTTAATTAATAATTGAAAGATTTTTTGTTTTTCTTTTTTTTTCGAAAAATTTTTCGTAATTTTTTAATTTTTTTGTAATTTTTTTTAATTAATTTTTTTGTAAATTTTTTTAGTTAATTAAAAAAAAAAAACTTCTAAGCTATCAACTGGAGGATATAATGAGAAGCATGGAGTAATAGCCAATATAAACAACTGCCACATACAGAAGAAGAGCTTTTTTTTTTGTTTTTTTTTTTTGTTTGCAACAATTTGTTTCAATCTAAAATTTCCTGAAAAACGAGAAATTCCGGAAGTTGAGGAACAAATGCAAACAAGAACATGGAAAAGAAAAAAAAAACAAAAACAAAATTAGATAAATGGTCGGTGATGAAGTTATCCGCTAAAAAAAGAAAACCGGAAAAATTCATTCATATAATATTTATCCAAAAACATATAAAACTATCATTGCATGTTTCGAATATTATCTTAATGAGTTGATTAATTAAGGAAGAAAAAAGAACGAGAAATTAAATGCTTAAAGAAGAGAGTGAAATGAAATGAAATGAAATAAATGGAAATGAAATAAAAAAAGATAAAAAGGAAATTAAAAGAATAAGAAATGAACCAATAAATTATGGCAATTCATTTTTTTTTTTCTCTAGAGAATAAAAATAAAGTTTTTGTTTTCTTTTTTTTGGGGTAAAAATTTAAGAAATAATTGTTGCAAGCAGCAAAATTAACGAATCTTTAATGATTTATTGCTATTAATTTAAAAAAGAAAAAGCGAATGATTTGGGAAATTTTCAAAAGTTTTAATTTAACCTTATATACATAAACTTATAATGAACTTAAAAACTTGCAATTAATTTTTTAATTTAATCATTTTATTTCACAAATTAACAATTATAATTTTTTTTCCATTCGGTTTGGTTTAAATTTTATAAGCTATTTCAAAAATTTTTAGAATTATCTATTCATTACTAATCAGCAATGACAAATGATTTAATTTAGCAAGAGCTAGATTATTTGTGGAACTCTTAAAAGTTGCTTATAACATTATTTCAATAATATATTATCAGCTCCTTCTATTTGCATTTTTTAACTTTGCAAAAATTGACATTTATTTAAATTTGTCACTACTAAATTGTCATTCTTTTCATAATTTAATAAATGTGCTCAAGATATCAAAATTTTCATTTCAAAAAATGCGCGACAATTTTTTTCACATAAAATTTCAAATTTTTCATGAACTATCAATTATTAGATTAGATTTGTCAATAAAAAAAAATCTTGTTAAAGAAAAAAAGAATTCAGTAACGAAAATTGAATAACGGAAAAATGATTGAAAATTTCGTAAATTCCAGAATCTGTTTTTTTTTTCCTTTTCAAAATCCCATCTGGGAATTTGCATAACAGATTTAAAATAAAATAAAAAAAAACAAACAAAATTTGGGAATCACAATTCATTAAACTGTAAAATATTTTTCAGACATTACTAAAGACAACAATAATAGAACGTTATGTTTCGAAAGGTATAAATTTTTTTTTGTTTTTTCTTTTTGAATCTAAAAAAAGAATTAAAATTGGAAAAAAAAGAGAACACATATCATTATAAATAACAATGTTCGCTTGTTTCTTTCTTTTTTTTTTCAAATTTTAATAAGAATCGTGGAATGTAATTAGCAATAATAAAATTTACAATGTTCAAATGAAGCTTTAATGTAAGCATTAATTTGCTAGATTATACAGTAAATTAACAAACGACAAAATGTTTATCTTCAAATAATTTTTATTAAAATATTAAAATGAATAAAAATGCATCAAACATTTACTAATTCGTTTGATCTGTTTTTTTTCTCTCCTTTAATTAATTGA